AATTCATTTCAATGGATATTTGGAGCTATTTTACTCTAGAGTGAGTTGATTAAATTTTTGTCTTCAAACACATATTGCTGGACGTATAATATATTATTCATTTTAATGGATATTTGGAGCTATTTAACTCTAGAGTGAGTTGATTAAACTTTTGTCTTCAATATATATTGCTGGTAATGTCACAGGGGAAGTAGTTGAATGAATCCAAAGAGTGTAGCTTAAAAGTGATAAAAGTTGTTGCATAATATAAAATTGTTATGTGCATGCACTACAGTTAAAATGCATCTTAGCAGCTTCTGCTTAAGCCTATGTTTGGGCTCCATTTGTTTCGAAACACTTTTTTCCGTACTCATTTTCAATCATACATTCTCCCATAAAATAATTTTTGATGTAAACCGAAAACTTTTCCTTATTTTTTAACTTCACATTCTCCAATAAATCACTATTCCAAAAAAACTCATTTTTAACCAAAAATGGGGCTGAAACAAGGGCTAAATATTTTCTCATTATTGCATCTTAACTGTCAAAGCATGAGTACAACATATATTCTTTGTAGTATGCAGTTATCGTAAATAAGATGATTCAGACAGACTTGCAGACCTATAATGGATATGAATGTTGCTGCTGACTTATTGTCTTGCCTTTTGTTCTATTTGCAGCGTCCCTTCATACCTGGGAGTTAATTTAGTATATGGATCTGTAGTTTCCAGAGAATTGACCCCTTTATGGGTTCTTGGACCAGTAATTGTTGCTCTCTACATTAAGATGGTCCGGTTCATTTGTGGGCTCTATTTATTCAGTTTCCAGCAGACTGTTAAAATAGTAAAGAAACTGCCTGTATACTACCTCGTGCTTTATTATTATATTGTGCATGGGAAGTTTAAAGAAGACATGTGTGCGCTTATATGGCAACCCATGGTGGACATCAGAAACATGGACTACAATGAGGTTACGAGGCAAAAGGCGAAAGATTTGGAAATCTGGTTGGTGGAGAAATATCAGGACAATGTGGAATTGATATGGCCGTATTACTGCAGAATGATCAGGTTTTTGAAGAGAGCAAATCTAATATAGATTTGCGGGCTTGTATTCTGGATAGAGATCGTTGCAAGGCTTGAAAAAATGGGATTCTTTGTTCTTTATTTCCTTGTTTTAGGTTGAAAATATTCCCACGGGCAAAAATCCTGAACCCCTTTTTGAAATATGGGGTTCTTAATCCCTTTGAGCAATTAGAGAATTGGAACCAAATGGCTTGTTGTAGATGGTTTGTCAAATTTTGAATTCATAATCTTGAATGAGTATGATGTTTCCATCTCACAGCTTAATGATGTTTCTGTGGGTTCGTAGTGGTGGGTAAATTTCTTGTAGTATCAATGTTAGTGAGGACGTGGAACTTTTCTTGGTGGTTTGGAATTTGGAGAGGGAAATCGGAAGATTGATTGTATGCTCTTTTTAGGTGATATTCGGAGAAGGTAATTTTCTTATCTTCTCATCCTCCCATTACCGACTGTTGAGTTATTGCTTGACGAGCTCCTCTTGAGCTTTTGTTAGGGAGATTGGATGTCTCGACTATAAACTACGTAATTTAAAAAGAAAATGAGTTAAACAAGTTGATGTTTTTCGCAGTATCTATTGCAATGTTATACTGTTTCTTGAAAAAATCCTTTAGGCGAGTTGGTCGAGTAGAAAATCCAATTCTATAAACTTGTTCTCGAAAAAAAAAATAATAATGAATAGATAAAAGAGAGAAAAAATAAAAAATCCTGTTGTTGTTTTGGCCTGCCTTTAAAGAAAAATCATCGTTCAACAATTAGCAAATAGCAACATCTCTATAAAGGGTTGGATTGTCCATGAATCAGCTGCTTCGAATCTCACTCAAAAACACAAACTAAACCGGACAAATTAAATTCGTTCAAGAAAGAACAAAAGAGGCCGCTTTCCATACCTCAGATTCTCCGAACGTTCACCATTTCTCCACCATCCATCCCACTTGCCATCAATTTTCTCAAATGGGTTCTCAAATTCTCCCCGAATTCAAATGGGTTCTTCTTAATATCCTCAATCACGCAGTCCTTTTACTAGCTTAAATTTTACTTCTGTCTATTTGCTTGTGGAAAAACGATAAAAAGAATGGCAGTTAAAGTAAAAATCGGTTCTTCATTTTCCTGTGTTTCCACCTCTCTTTGTTCACCTTTTCAAAGTAAAGCGGCTCCAAAGGTATGTATATTTTTTTCACCACTTTACAAAGTTTTGCTCTGTGAGGTTTATTGGGAAGGATTGTTATTATTTGTTTTCTAAATGATTGAAATTTTAGTAGAGTTTCTGATTCGGTGGTTAAGCAATGCACAAATGTGCTTTTGAATTTCTTAAGTTCTGATATACTCGGCTGTTAATGTTGGGTTTAAGTCCCTGAAGTTTTTCTTCGAAGCAATCAAGGAATCACAAGTTTTTTTGGGGTCATTAGGAGTCCGATCCTATATTTTCATTCCGTGGCAATGTTATGATTATATGTCTTCTATCTACCCCTTATAAGAAGAAAAACAAGATTTCGAATGGTCACAAAGATGCCAGCGTAGCTGCAGGAAGTTTCAGAGCATGTTTGGCTAATCCTAAAAAAAAGTTTGTTATGATACGTTAGTTTTTTTCTTAAAAATAGTTACTTTTTGAAAGTAACTCTTTACCCCGCTAGTATTTCTATTTGACTAATGAGAAAAGGTTATTTGTTTTAGAACTTACTTATTTACTTATATTATAAGTGAATTTTTTAAGCTCATGCTCTTAGTCCATCTAGAAGCCTATTCTTTGAGGTCCTTCCAAAATTACATTCTTGGGTTGAAGCATCAAGAAATTCTCCTGCACCTTTTTGAGTAGCTCTACTTGAATCTCCCTCTGAGGTATTGGCCTTGCCTTGAGCCTCTTTCATAAATTCTTGACAAATAGCCACACAAACAGAACAACAAAGCAAGTTGCAATTCTGGATACTTATAATTTATTGGGGGATGACATACATATCGATATGACAGTATTTTTGGGGGAATGTCAACATATCTTTTTAGCCTCTGGTATGCGCAAAACTGGCCATTTTGGACTCTGTGTTAATAGCTCAAGGCTTAAAAATGGATGCCTATAATTGAGTGATGTGATTATTTACACATTAATATAGTATTGTTAGTGAGGGCTTAGTAATCTCTGAATATTAGCCTTGGGTATGCATAATACGAGCCTTTCTGGACTCTTGTATCAATAGGACGAGCCAGGGTCAACTGTGGATAGGCTTATAAATCAGTGATACAATGGAATGCTTATCAATATAACTACAAAAAAGTTAAGTTACCATGTCAACTCTAGTATCAATAGCTTAGGGTCGAACTATGGAATATGGATATCTATCATTTAGTGATGCGAGGATATGCTTATTTATACAACTATGTTAATTAGGATAAGCGAGGTTTGAATATTGATATCATGAAGATGACCCCTAATTTGGAATCTTTGGAGTCAAAGTTGAGATGAATGCATATGAGTTGCTTGGTATGGAGGATTATGTAATATTAAGGGGAAACTTATTAGTGAATTTGTACCTTTTATAATTATGATCTTCAAAACAACTTATCTTGTTACTTTTTACCTCCAACTTATTTATGCTATTTTAGTGGAGAACATTTTATCTCTTCAGTCAGCTTTTATTTCATTGATGGAGTAGATAATGCCTGTCAACCCTAATCGATAGCATTGTTAGTATCTTCCTACTTTTCTTAGCACTTTTAGTTTGAAGTGTATGCATATATGCATAGATTTCTCCTTTTTGTTAATATATTTTTTCCCTTAATTATTTCTAAAGTTAATCATAAAATATTGTTTAAAAAGAATTCCTGACTCCTGCCTGTTGGTCTTCAGTTGATATCAAGGCTAGGATTGTTTAAGAGCCAGCAATACAATGCAGACCAGTTAAGAAATGCTAAAGGTAGCTATTTTATCATGTTAGAATTGCCTTATGAATCATTTTAATATAAGATGCAACTTACTTTTCCCAACCTTCTGAGAAGGATTCCATGTTTCAGTTTAGCTTACCCAAAATGTAGTGATATATTCTGATAAATAAACCACATATAATTATGGCCTTTTAAGAGTTTCTTCTCCAGTGGACCATCACTGTAAGCTCTGCTTTCATTTGTTTGAGAATTAATGTGTTCAAATTGGTTGATTTTAACATATATTTGAATTTTTATATTGTGATGGGACTATTAACCATTACTCTAAGAATCCTCTCTTTTTTTTTCCTGCAAGTTGTTAAATCATGCCAGCTCATAGATGGAAAGCTAGCAATGAAACAAAGGTTGTCAAATAGGCGATGTATTCTCTTTGCTACAACTGACGATCAGCTATCATTCAGTGAGCTAGAACCAGATGATTTCGAGCAGGAAATTCAAGTCCCTCCTGCTGAAGATGCCTCCCCAACAAACAGTTCATACTTCCATACTGAAGGATCTGAAGGAAAACCAGGCTTCATTTCATTTTATAATTGTCCTCGCCAAAGAGAAAACAAAATCTTGGCGTCTACCACTGGGAAAAATCACAATAGTCTACTGTGGTTCATCGGTCCCACTGTCCTTGTAGCCTCTTTCATATTTCCTTCACTTTATTTGCGCAAGATACTCTCCACTATATTTGAGGACTCTCTATTAACGGGTAGGCAAAACTTGTGCTAGTTTGAGCTACTTCTTTGGTTCCTGACCTGCTGATATGTTATTTGCTTGTTTTGTTCCACCTGCATCATCGTCATCATTATCTTTATTCCTCCTTTTGAGGAAAAAACCAAATTTATGGCGATACATAAGTACTTTACACAAAGTTTGATGTAGCTTACTTGCTATGCTTAATTCCATGTATCTTGATCTCATTTTTTATTATTTAAATGCTAATAGTGTTGTTGATGTTTTGATTTCACTTGAATGCTACTGAAGGCATTTGATGGTCCTAATACCTGTCACAAACGTTCGCTTACTGTGTAATAGAACATTGATGATCTACTGTTTGATAGCATCGTTAAATGGTCTACGTCCAATTCCTTGGTTACCATTCTATATTGTTTTGCCTTGAAAATTCTGGAATTATTTGCTAGTCTTTCAGAGCTTTAGCCCGTCTGAAGCTTCTTTGTCATCTGTTATTAGATATTCAAAACTGGAGTTGGAATTGTTGATTGCATTCAATTTGAATTGAGGAAAAATTTGAGTGAATGGCATGGATAACAGATGGATGTTGATAAATCTTTAGATACACTATTGAGTGAAGTTAGTTGCTTCCTGTTGTCTGAACTAAAAACATATGTTGGCTTAAAAGTGTAGGAGCAGTTGAATTCAATTCAGGCATGGTCTGAGGAGTGTTAGATACGTGTTAAATTATATGTCTGGATATATATTGTTGGCGCCAACATATCTGGTTAAAGCATATTTGCCTTCCAGTGTGACCGCACCTCTTTGGGTAGAAGAAACATTATTCACTCATTAAATGAAAATAGTCCGTCAAATACACAGTTCATTTTGATGATCTTACACTAAAAAATCTGCAGTGGCATGGAAAACAAAATTTACTGATTGCAAAGTAATCATTGTTGACATCAGATAAGTTTATATGCATGTAAATAGAGCATAAAACTTTTATCACACTAAGTATCATAATTCTTGAAACTGGATAGACTTTGTTATATTAAATGGTAAACTACTACTGATTTCAGCTAGGTTAGGAAAAGGAAAACAAATTATTGCAGTGATTATTATGTCGTGTGGTTGATCTATCACTACATTATTTGTTGATTAGGAGCCATTAAAATTATTTGCTTGTTTTGGCAGACTTTCTAATATTATTCTTCACGGAGGCACTCTTTTACTGTGGAGTTGCTGTGTTTCTTCTCCTAATAGACCATTTGTGGAGACCTATTACGCCTGTATCTGCAGCTAATAACATGAACCTTACACCGCATTTGGGACACAGAATCTCTTCTGTTGCTGTCTTGGTTCTTAGTCTTACAATTCCAATGGTGACTATGGGTTTTGTTTGGCCGTGGACTGGCCCTGCAGCTTCGGCTACTCTAGCTCCCTACCTTGTTGGTCTTGTTGTCCAGTTTGCATTCGAGCAGTATGCAAGACATATTATGTCTCCTTCAGGGCCTGCCATTCCCATTATCTTTCAGGTAACAACACTGGCCTTTCATTTCAACTCACTTAGTTCAGAATCATTCAAAACTTTTCGTAGAATTGAATTTACTATTGTTACTTTGCACGTAAACATGTTTCAAGAATATAATGGGCAATGTTATCTATTTTTCTAAATCTATAATATATTAAATATCACATCAAGTGAGAATCACTTTTTGGACGATTATAACCCTACTACAATTCAATTATTTCAATAATATCTTATTTTTCGTTTTTCAATATGTATTTAATTTACAAACTGTAATAAATACTATGATTAAGTCTATATTAATTAACATTCATATTCACATATGATATATTAAATATCACATCAATTGATTCCTACTACAATTTAATTATTTCAATAATATCTTACTTTTCGTTTTGCAATATGTATTTAATTTACAAACTGTAATAAATACTTTAAATACGAACTGTAATAAATACTATACTTAATTTTCAACTAATTATATTCACATTCATTTAATTAATATTAATTAAAATTTCACAATGTCCCTGTTATTAATACTCAATTAATTAACATTCATATTCATTTAATTAATATCAATTAGAATTTCAGATTAAAAATGCAGTTCATTATTCACTTCATGTATGGTAATTAGAATCCAGTTTCACTTAATTAGAAATTAAATTATATTTATTTAATATAAATGATTCAACTTTCATTATCACGTATATATTTCTTGGTGTTAATTCTAAATTAATTAACATTGTATGCAATTCACTATTTACGTGCATGTATAATAATTAACATTTATTTTCAGAGGCTTGCATTTCTATCATATTTAGATCACAAGGGTAAATGGGGGGTCAAATATTACTTTCACAACATTTATAAAGCATTTCAGAATAACGTGCAACGCACTTTCAACTCTGATTAGTAAATAGAAAAGGGGCAAACACATCTTCCCACATCCCACCTGCTCCCTCCCCTTCCCACTTCACCAGTCTCTTCCCCCTGCTGTCCCCCCTCACCCCGCCTCCCACCTCCCCACTGGAGGAAAATGTTAATTTTCCAGTCCTGACAACAGGTGCTAATTTTGCATAACTGAGAGCTATTAAATAGTTAAATTGAGGGGTATCTACTTGTTTCCAAAATTTATGGTCGTCCATCTCTTTGTTTTGACGCACAATTGTAGAGAAGCAAGACAAAAGTGGTACTGTGAATGAAATGAAGATTGTTAAACTAGGACCTTAAATTGAGGAGGTCGGGAGGTGGGGGAGAGGATGACTGGAGTTGGAGGTCAGAGGTCTGGGGAGGAAAAGATGAGTTTTTTTTTTAAATATATTTTATTTTAAAAAAATGAAACGAGGTAGAAAAGTATTTTCAATCAAAATCCCTATCATGTCCAAGACATGTGATGTTTTTTACTGCTAAACTGCTAAATTGGACGAATTCATCTTGTGGGTCCAACTTGCTACAAAGATTGAAGGTTGGACCCAAATACTAATTTGCATATACTTTAGAATCCACACAAAATTCCCTGCTTTTTAATACAGTGCAATACATTATATACATAGATCAGTCTAGAAATCTGCGCCTATTGATTGATCTTTCTCATGGATGACAGTACCCTATATTCCGTCATTAAACCAGTGTAATGCCAGGTGCCATTTCAAAATTAACACCCCTCCATTTCATATTAAATGCCCTATTTTTCATATTTAGGTTGTTCCAAATTCCAACAAAAGTCACTTCCCAAAAATATACACAATTTTGTTCCTATAGTCTTTCTTTATTGATTTTGGTTCAATTGTTTGGTGGCAGTACTTTGGCATTGGAGGCTTGAATGCTGGTGGTTTTTAGAAGTTTTGGCTGGTTGATTTTGTAGATGTGTAATTTTTGTGACTGAGTTACGATGTTCGTTTTTCAGGACTGATTTAATGATTTTGTAGTTTTGTTGCTGGAAAAAGGGATGATGTCATTCTCATGTTCCCCCTACCCCACCCCAAAAAAATCTGAACGAATGTGGTTTTCTTTGAAGTTTTGACTCTAGTTCATCTAAGGTTTATCAGAATTTCTCTCTTCTATATCAAAATTTAAGCCTTTGGATCAGTTATATTTTGATCTTAACACGGTTTATGACCATTTGGGTTTATTTTAGGTTCAGCAGAATGCATAGAATGATAAGCTTGGGAAAGTAATTTCTGCTGCGCTGCATTTAACTATTTTCAGGTCGGAAGTTCACCATGATCAATGATATATTTGCCTTATCCTTTCAACACTCTTGCAGGTTTATAGATTACACCAGCTAAATAGGGCTGCACAACTGGTGACAGCTCTCTCTTTCACGGTGAGAGGAGCTGAGATGACGTCACACAACCTGGCAATAAACGGCTCATTAAGTACGCTTCTGAATGTCCTCCAGTTTCTTGGCGTCATTTGTATTTGGTCACTTGCAAGTTTTATCATGAGATATTTCCCATCTGCCACCTCACCAGAACGGTAAGTAGCGAAAAAAACCTGTAGTTCGACATATTATCGCCATTCTATAAGTGACTCTGGACATGGTGAGATTGAAGAAGTTAGAAATCTTGGCGGTTGGATTAGCCATTTGGGCAAGTTAATTCATCATTTTATTGGTTGCTATTGGTTTCAGATGAATACGAAAGAACATCAACCTAGAAAATTAGGATAAAATGGCTTAATAAAGTTATTGTACGAACAGTAATGTTCGTCGAACATTTTCTGAGAGCCACTCCGAGGAGATGCTGTAACTCTCCGAGTGCTTTATTGCTTGTATTTCGCTGTTTTGTTCTTCCATTTGTCTGTAGATTTCAGTTTTCAGGTTTTTTTCGTTTTTCCATTATAACGAGTAGTGGGTCTCAGAAATGTGTGAATAATAAGTGAGTAGTAGTTGTGAATGTTTGGTTAAATTAATATTTGCATATGGCTTCAATTATAATGAGCTTGTAATTTTACCCAAACAAATAAACGTGAAATTTTGATATCATCCCTTGATATCGTCCTCTATTCCTACGTTTAGTTCTTCTCCGGCAACTTTCATTCCCGTGTGTATCGATTTGCTTAGGTGGTGAAAGCTGAATAAACAGTAAATATAGCATTTTTCTGTGTCAAAAGCATAATCTCTATATCAGAGGCAAGATTATGCATAATTCTTGACTGTTCTCATCATTTCTTCTTTAGGGAGCCAAAATTAGCTTTTATGGATTCTTCTTTTTTGCTTATTCTGAAGTTGAACACGTTTGACTAAGCTTTTTGAGCCACTTTTTTCTTCTCAAAATGTGTCAAAGCTGCTTTCCCATCGGGGGGAGAAAAACTTATTTTGTACCATGGAGTTTCATCTTTGAAATTATACACCTAATAATTTGTACAAGGTCATTCCATCTGGGCCCACCCTGTTTCCAACATGCTTCTGCATTATTAAATCATCCAAAGAAAATTAAACCCCAATTAATTTAGTTTATTAGTAGTTCTTGATAGAAATTTAAAAAACACGTGTAGTTAAAAAGTTGATAAAAGTTATAAATTCTATAAAATGTATAGTTAAAAATGATTTTTAGAAGCTGAAAACCAAATAGGGATTAAATATTATGCGCATGAAAAAATTGCGTATAAACCAGGTATATTATTTATAAGTATTGCAGCTAATTTAGAATTGTCTTGAATAATTCTCCATGGTCTTCACAATGTTGGGGAATAGTGTATAGGTTATTGTGTATGTAGACAAAGGTTTGGCACAAGTTTAACAACGCGAAAATGATGCTAAACCACAAAAGAAATGATAGAAATCAAAGAAGGAAACAAGAAAAGAATGTTATGAAAACGTCATAGGGAAGTGTTTAACACTTTATCTTTGACACGAAATTGTCCCACAAAGATGCTAACGGTTAATGGCAATCGTCTTCCAATATACAACGGAAAATATTTTTGTAGTAGAAGCATTTCAACTTACAAGGTCAAACAAAACGAATCAAAATTCTCTCTACAAAGATGATTTTGGTATGCAAATTTTGAGAGTGATTTTGCTATAATTTTGATGCAAGCATCAAGAGATGTGAATTGGGATGCATAAATGCCGTCCAAGGGATCCAATTTATAGAAGATGAAATATTATGAACAGAGAGATATGCCCCAAAACTCAACAACCTTCATGAAGCGACATAGCCTTTGTTGTCGTTGACGCACAGCTCGAGCGGCAGAAGAGAGACCTAGTGCTAGCCTACCACTCGAGTGATAGCTTTAATCATTTTTTAGTTAGTTTTCTCCCGACTTTGGACCGTAAACTATTTTTATAATTTCACTATCGAATCAAATCCGAATATTTGGCTGAAATTGATAAAAAATTCACTTTTCACATTTTTCATGATTTTATACTTTGACCACTTTTTTTTTTTCTTTTTAACGCAATTCCAACACACTATGGCCAAGATCTTTATAACTCACGCATTGTCAAACTAGTTGAACAAGTAACATGATTGAAATTTGTAATGATGTTCACAGATCTAATTTCTTGTTTAGATAAAATTATAACATCATTATAATTTCAAGTTAAAAATCAATTGTTAATTTTAACTATACGTTCTCAATTATTATCCAACTTATTATTCACCCATTTCATTAAAGTTTACTATTCATTATTAATATAATTACATTATAATTTTAATTTTTATCCGTACAAATACTAGTGTGAGTGATATAAATAATACACCCCATAATCCTCTAGAGATAAGTTTGGCGACCTAAACAACAACAAAAAATCGACTTTTTAAAATGGCACGACTTTACCTGCTGTCACACTGTAGTATTGGATTGAATTTAGGTCTCATCGAATATGATAATACTCACGCTTGTTTGGAAAATCAAAAATTTGACACAAATAAATTAACTTTCAGATAGTAAAAATGTCTGCTAAGAGATCTAATAGGGTATAACTAATCTCATATTTGAAGTCAACCCTATAGAAAATAGCCCAAAACACACAGTTGAAGGTGTTTCGCACTCTCACTATGTGCAAATATATGGCCGCTTTGCTCATTAGATGTCACAAGCGGATGGAAGTTTCTTGCACATTATACACACACACAAATTTACCACATTTTACTTCAAGAAATATGGTTCTTTATATGACTATCGAACGGAAAATACGTAACAAAATCCGAAACTCGACAGGACAATCAATCTCAATGTGTTTAAGCTGAAAAACATAAACAAAGACTTAGTAGCCAAAGTTGAAAGCTCAAACAAATGTATACTAAAAATGGAAAGAAAAGAGAAAGAAAAGGAGAAGCTGCGCAATGGAGAAATTCAGTAGGGTTTACTGCATTTTATAGTGGTTTCTACAACGATATATTCTTAGATGTTAATGGTAAGGGCAGGCGGGCAGGGCACGGGCTTGTCGGGCAGACATGCAAGTTGGCTTGCCCGAACATTAAACAAATGAATATATAGTTGTTCAGTTCGGTTGAATTTGAATTATCCAGAATAGAATAGGATAGTGGTGATGAGTCACGAGTGTGCATGCATGATAAGTGATGAACGTTCAACGTTGAACACCGTTGGTTCGATGGTACCATGACTAGGAGCCGTTGGATAGTGTTCTTCTATATAGTCTAACAGTCGAACAATCTATACATATATCATGACAAGTCGGTCTCTATCTATTTAATGCGATTAATATTTAGTTAATGAAATATGTTGAATTATATGTCATCCTAGTATATCTAGAAGTTAAATTAGATTCACAGCTCGAGCTAATATAGCATTCGTTTAATCCTCATTATTTCCAAAATACATTTTTATTTCTCTTATTTTTTTGTTGAAAATTGGTTTAAAACACGAGAAAGATTAGTTAAGAATCGAAAACCAAGCATTGAAAAGTGTGACTTCATGTCAATCTTGGCCAAAACGTAACTCGTTTATTTATTCTTTTCTGCTTCTAAATGGGGGGCTCGAGGGCGTTAATTTTGATTTTCGTGTATAACTGGTGTCTCAAAATCAATTTCGAATGAATGAGAAATTGTGGTCCAAAATTGAAAGGAAAAAAGGTGGAAAATTGGATGACACTATCGCTCGAGCAACAATATAGCTCGCTTGAGCGAACAGCGAGCGACGTGCTCACTGAAAGTGTCGCTCGAGCGATGTAGTGAGCGGACATCGGGTGAAAATCTTGAAACGCGTGACTGTTGGGTTTTGACTTGCACCACTTCGACCACAATCCTTCAACATCTATAAATAGGACTCTAGGGACACCCTAATCTTTACACCAATGATATGCAATCATATAACATTCATTTTCTCTCATTTCTATTGTTGCATAAATTCTAGTTTTCTTTACTTTGCATACTGGAGTTCGTAAACCAAGTTCTGGTTTGCTATTTCTTGTGTGTTGTAGTACTACTCACATAAGAAGATAGATGTTGTATCTTGGAAGTTGATTTCCATAAACCGTAGGCACCGTTGCGGGGCAAAATCGACTTAAGGATAAAATATTCAACACTTGCCTCGATTTTGATATAATTGATGCCATACTGCACATTTTTGAGAATTTATTTGAAGTCCATTTCCTACTGTTACTTCGCCGAAATTTCTACATAATTTGAAGGATGTCACTCCATACACGAAATTTTCCAACATGTTTAACCATATTTTCTTCAATAAAATAATATTACATGCAAATCCAAAAATTTTCCATATTTTTAAACCACACATTCTATATCAAATTACTATTTCAAAATGTATTTTTGGTGGAAAAAAAAATGAGGCTCAAACATGTTCATAATATTTTTAATTCAACAAAATATTCAAATTAAAATAATCCTGAAAATACGACCACAATCCCAACCACGCAGCACCACTACCCTGATGCCACCATGACCACCACCACCTTATCCTCCCTCTCCATCCCTAAACCATCTTCACCACGACGTATCAATCGCCAATATGATCACTAACAACCAACAGTACCACTATCCAAATATCTAATATGAGACCACCTACCACCCGTTAGCGACATGAATTCCATTTTAAATCTGAAACCGATTTAAATCTTAGAAAAATCATATTTAAATCCTTCCACTATCTAGATTTTGTTTTAGGTTTTTGATTGGGTTTTTGTAGTGGCATGTGAGGTTTTAACTGGATGGTGAAAGTGGCTCTACATTGGTGTTGATGATGGTGGCTTATGGTGGATGTAGGCGAGATGTTGACTTCTCTTGTTTCTTGGTGGTGCATGGTGAATGGCGGCAAGTGGTCATGCTAGCGTATGTTGGCGGTGAATGGTAGCGCATGGTGTTGGTGGTTGTTGTGACAGTGATCTAATTGATTTTTTAATGGTAGTTATGGATTGTAACACTGTGTTACAGTAGGGGATAGTGTTAGTGGTCACTATTCGATGGTGATTGCGGTATAACTTTGAATGTTACAAGTGTTGATGATGATGGCGAACGGGGGTTATGTAACAGATTGAATGCAGGTAATTTAATGTTCCCTCCATGACGGATTTTAGCTTCTCACCATCACCAACTACTGTGCTTCCCTTACCTGTGTACTCAACTTTGAGTGCGAGGTTGCTTGGATCGCCAGTCACATGATTGCTTAACCCACTATATGCAAACCAAGCTGGATCATTGAGTGTCTCCAGTGATGCCCCAAATTTAGTGTTCCTATTTCTGCATTGATTTATTCTAGTCTTCTTTCATAGCTTAAAAGTATGTTATTCCTCCCATCTCATTAATTTGGCACACCACATGATTATACTCCATGGAATCAAGACCAGCCACAACTTGTGTGACCAGATTATCCATTGGCGATTAGTTTAGACTTGACTATTTATTCAATAGACATTAATGTCAGGTGAAGTGGAAGGTCGTCTATTTTCTTGACATGCAAACTGCAATCCATTGATTGCTTTGGAGTCTTTAAACTCAGACGAATTTCTAGATTGTCTAATTTTTCATGTCTTATCGATATAGGCGGATTTCTATTTTACAAAGTAATTAAGGATTGGGACCTGTACTTTATGGTTTTTACAGGAGATGTGAGGAAATTTTGAATTTGATTTTTGGTTCCTTCGGCACGCTCGATAAATTCAATATAATTTTTTATTTTACTGGTTGGTCATAATTTGATGCATATTGTTATATAGTTCATTTTTCTGAGAGTTAATTGAAACTTAATTGGAGGAAATGGCGTCAAGATTTTGGACCCAGCTCTGTTTCTATTTCCATTTCCATCAATACATTTATTATAAGTTATTTTCCGACTTCAAAATCTATTTTTTCCTGGACTAAGTTTAGTTTAATAAATTTTAAATTGTTTTCTCTGAAATTTCATACTAATTTCAATATTAAAATTTTGATGTTGACAAGACTAGTATGTTTTGCCTCCTGAATGTTCAACATTGTAGATATTATCTTATATTTGTTTTGGGGGTTGTAGGGAGATAGTGACACCGAAGAGGAGGAGGAGAGTGATTATGAGCCGGAAGACAGTGGACCAGTGGAAACAACTGCTACAACCAGAAGCAGATATCTCCAGGGTAATGCCAGCGATAGTGATTACTCAGATGGGCACAAGCGCATTGTCCGATCTGCCAAGGATAAGCGTTTTGAGGAGTAGCCTGCCACAGTTTATCAGTTGAAAAATGCTATGAAGATCGATGTCTGGGTCAGCTTGCAAGAGAGCTTTGATAAGATCAATGGGCAACTTGAGAAGGTCATGAGAGCTACGGAGTCAGATAGAGCTCCTAATCTTTACATTAAGGCTCTCGTAATGTTGGAGAATTTCTTGAAGCAGGCCTTGGCCAATAAGGAGGCAAAGAAGAAGATGAGCAGTAGTAATGCGAAGGCCTTGAATTCAATGAAGCAAAAGTTGAAGAACAACAACAAGCAGTATGAAGATTTGAATAACAAGTACATGGAGAGTCCAGATCTTTTTGAGGAGAAAAATGAGGATGAGGAAGAGGATGACAAAGGTTCAGAATTTGATGAGGATCCATCTGAGCTTACGAGGCCAGGTTCTGATGAGGAGGATGGGGATGAAGATGAAGGGAACAGAGGGTTATCTGAAACTGGACTTGGTTGGGAGAAGATGTTGAGCAAGAAAGATAAACTGATGGATAAGTAGTACAAGGATCCCAGCCAAATCACGTAGGAAACTGTCAACAAGAAGTTCAAGGAGATTGTTGCTGCTACGGGTAGGAAGGGGACTGGAAGAATTGAATTGGTTGAGCAGCTCATGTTCTTAACACGAGCTGTGAAGACTCCTGCTCAGACGCTTGAGATCCATTTCATTTGGTCTCTGCACAGTTTGATGTTAATCTGAGTCTCATTGGATACATGCCAATCAATATGTGGAAAAGGTGTGTGCATAGTATGCATGCCATACTTGGTATTTTGACCCAATACCCGAATATTGTGGTTGATGACATGGTCTAGCCTGAAGAGAATGAGACCCAAAAAGGAGCAGACTTCAACGGGTCAATTAGGATTTGGGGAAATTTGGTAGCGTTCCTTGAAAAGATAGATGTGGAAATTTTTTAAGAGCCTTCAGGTTATTGATCCACACACCCGTGAATATGTTGAGAGGCTTAGGGATGAGCCAATGTTCCTAATTCTTGCTCGGAATGTCCAGGAATATCTAGAACAGGTTGGGGACAATAAGGGTGCTGCAAAGGTCGGTCGGGCTGATTTATTATAAGCCACATGAGGTATACGATGCAATGAGAAAATGAGAAAATTGGCTGATTTATTGGATGTCAGAGGAGGAACAGTCTGTAGAGGAACCAAAAGCTAATGATGAAAGAGGGAGGCCACCTGCATTTGTTTCAACTCCTGAGCTGGTACCTTCGTAAACCTACCTTTCCGGATTATAGGCTGACCTTGATGGACATCCTTGTTTCTCTCATATACAAGTATGGAGATGAGAGGACTAGGTCTCGTGCAATGCTGTGTGATATATACCACCATGCTATCCTGGACAAATTTTCAACATCCCATGACTTGTTGCTCATGAGTCATCTGCAGGATAATGTTCAACACATGTATATTTCTACCCAAATACTTTTTAACAGAGCTATGGCACAACTTGGACTATGCGCATTCAGGGGGACTTATTGTCGAGGGCCATGGTTGCCTCTCAGAACTGTATTCTGCTGGCAGGGTGAAGGAATTACATGCTCAAGGTTTTGCACAAAGTCGATATGAGATACGCTAGAACAGGTAGTATTTTTACCCTAATCTTTATCACATTTCTTTGTGGTTCCCAAGTCTAGACGTGGATTGTTTTTCTTTGCTATTTTGTATTTATCCTGCATTGTTTGAAGCTTCTATTATTTCGTGTGCATATTGTTTCCATGGAAAGTTGAATTTAGCTCAGGAAAAGAAATTTCTGTAAGAAGGCAAGAAATCTAACTTGAAACATGCGTTCATAGTTGGGACTGTAACTGTGCAGAAAATTGGTGTAAATTGTTGGATTGTAGTATGCACAAGATCAGATACATATTCTGGTACTTAGAAATTTAGAAATGTTGAGATTCTCTGTATTAAAATTATTCTGAGAACCATATAATCGAGCCTTGCGGATTTTAATGCATGTAATGATGGAAAAATTGTTGATACTTCTCTAATATGTGATAAGTTATATCTTTTCTCAATTTATTCTTAGCATTGACAACTGTGTTGTTTGTTTGTCCTGTTCCAAAAACCCTTATTCCTCAGTAATATTGAATAATAAGTTAAAATAAGTAGTCCTGCTTTCATCATCTCTTTTTTTTACAGTGGTTGTCATACTAGTCTTGTTCTTGATGTATTTGGCTGGCTAGATGTTTCTTTAGTAGCTTTTTTGAGGTGGTTTGAGTAATTTTAATGGCATGTTTTTGAAATTTTCCATGAACGGCTGGAAAGGAGGCGGCAGATGCCCTACCACACGCATATAAATCATGAGCTTCTTGAAGCTGTCCATTTGATATGTGCCATATGTTGCTTGAGGTCCCAAACATGGCAGCCAGTGGCCATGATGCAAAATGTAAGGTCATAAGCAAGACTTTCCGGAGGTTGCTTGATGTGAGACTCTCCGTTTGGCGTTTGTAATGAGGTCCTCCTGAAATCTTCACATTCTCCAAAAATCAATATTCAAAAATACATTTTTTCTCTCAAAATGACGCTCAAACAAGGCTTCGTAACAAAGAATCTTCATCGCCAATTCTTTTAAATTACCCAAAATGAAAAAGAAAGCAAGAAAAAGGACAAAATATTGGGATAGGATAATTTGTCTAGACCTTTTTTAGAATGCTGAATAAAAATATAAAAGAAACGAGGAATAAATAAAGAAAGAGGAACTTTAGTAACAAAGAATCTTCATCGCCAATTGCTTTAAATTGCCCAAAATGAAAGAGAAAGCAAGAAAAAGGCCAAAATATTGGGGTAGGATAATTTTATCAACGTGGTCTCTATACTAAATTTCATTTTGACTATCAAAATTTAAATTGTTTCATTTACGTATTAAATTAAAAAATAAATTATCTCTATTACCCCAAGCAAGTGTTTATAAATAAATAAGAATGAGTGGTCGGTAAGTAAATAATATTTGTAAATTCCATAAAAAGTAGATTGAAGATTTTTAAACTAGAAATACTTACCAAACGTGTAGTCTCATTTCCCTCTTAAAGTTCATTGGCCTTCTTTGACAAATTTAAAAATGTGTATAAAGAGGATAATAGTGAGTTGTAAGGAATGTGATTGAAATTAATATTTGATTTATTAATTTATTTAAAAATTTCTATTCAAATTAAATATTAATATCAAATTTTAAATAATGAGTAAATGAATAGTACTATGTGGGGTTAATATTTTGATTGAAAATTGAACTTTGCACAGAGTTTTAAATGGGTCACTAAACTTTGTAATATGTAAACCTATTCATCACTTAATCAACGATCATTCGAAAAAGTAACGAAATTGATAACGTGATAAATGGAGTCGCTTATTTGGCATGATATTGTAATTAGTGGATGCCAAATCATGAAGTTGTTGATGATACGAAGTGAGTGTAATTTAAAAACACGTTTTTTTACACCATTAAAAAAAGAATTAAAATGATTGCAAGAATTTGAAATTCTGCAATAATATAATGTGACGTCTGTGTGGTGGTTGGTTTCTGAGGATGTATCCATATTAACGATTGGAGTATGAAGAACCCTAAATAATTTTGGAGATTTTGCTAAGTTGGAAAAGATTGAGAAAAATAACTTTTGGAAGACAATTTTGGATAAGTAGATTTCGGAGAAGAGGAGATTTAGGGTTTCGAGGGAGGCGGTTTTGGGAATCGAAGGGAGGCGACCTCTGTTTCTGCCGTTGTGTTTGGGGGTGCTTTCGTGTGAGAGAGAGAGAGAGAGAGCACATTCTTATTTATCGACTATCGTACCACATAATCGACAATTTTATCACCTTTTCGAACTGTCATTGATGGATAAAGTTACATATTACAAAGTTCAATGATTAACGAGAAAGAAAGTTTAGTAACCACTGGAAATTTTGTACAAAGTGCTCGATCAAATTATTAACCCTAATTTGTGGGAATAAAAAATAAATGAATTATAATAAAGTAGCCAAACAAATTCGCGTCAAAGCAAACTTTTGCGCAGAGTTCAATCACGAAAGGATAATGCACCAGACACCGAATCAAGATATTTGTCGTCTTGAATTGGAATTTCGGCAAGAGCCCATCTGTGATTTTATTCAAGACACTAAGCAGAACCAAAATTTCAACACCTGTTAACACTTTTCTCTCTCTGGAAGTATATATAGCAACAAAGAGAGAGTTAAGATGGGTTCAGTGTTCAGTTCAAGCAAGAACAGAGAGCAAATCGAGATTGCTCTTACCAAAGCCAAGCAGATCGTTAACTCCAACCCTGCTGTTATTTTTAGGTCAATCCTCTTGTTCTTAATCATTCTTGGAATTATATTATTTTTGTCAAATCTTGATGAATTGATTTATCAACTTAATGAAAGATTAATGGAGTTACTGCTTTTCCCTGGAAAAATAGCTCAAAATTGAGAAGGGGTTTTTGCAATTTTCTCGATGAACTTCTAATTCTTAGAGATTTTTCTGGGTATATTTGCTGTAGAATTAACATATATTACTTCTTTATCTTGTTAGTGTCTTTTTTTTTTTATTATTATTAATTTTCAATCTTGTTCGTTCTTGATGTTACCTCTAAAAGCTTCATAATTTCTAGTAAAATTGTTTCATCTATGCCTATCAGTATCTTTCGAGGGATATGAGACTCTCTTTTGCATGGATAGGTATAGAGTAATTTTTTTTTTTACTTACTATGCTCTTTATTTTGTCTCTTCCTTATCATTTATCAAGCAACATTTATTGATCTATCATCTTTTAATTAGAATAATTTTATTATATGTCAATGATCCATCAATTTAAATAATAATTTGAATAATTTAAAAGGCATTATATTGAATGTGTTCCTTTATTTTTAAGCATTGAATCTATAAAATAGAGATTATCCGACGAGAGTCTTGGAGATGCTCTTATTTGAGTTAAAAGTTTAAACCATAAGAGGTGACACCGGTAAGAAATTTGACCTTCCTATTTTCTTAAATTTAACGAATTTGTAACTGGACATATGCAAAAACTGATGGAAAAACACACGATAGTTAGGAAATGATGCCTTTTCAATATAATGCACACTTTTCTTATGAACAATTAAAGAATCTGATTACTTGCTGAACTACTGTATTATTGTCATGCTTCACTGATACTTCCTTTCGTGCAGTAAAACTTATTGTGCATATTGCAAGAGGGTTAAGCAGCTGTTTTCCCAGTTGAATGCAACGTACAAAGTCATCGAACTTGATGAGGAAAGTGAGTGTATACTGCTCAACCTTGTTATGGGAATGAACATTCGGCATTTTCATTCTTTACGTATCTCTGCATCTGATTAATTTCGTGTTGGCAGAGTTTAACTGATTTGATATTCAGTTGCATAATTCTGCAGTGTTCCATGTGTTGGTCACTTGGCAGTTCTTGAGCTTTCTGAAATAAATGTATACAACAATCTACATGCTTGGATAGCCTAAAATATTTAAAGTTACTTCGTTTCCAAACATGTATATTTGCTACAGTTTTCTTATTTTTACTGGTTGTCATCTTCCAGACCACACAAGTTTCTTTCTTCTCCTGCTTTATGCAGATTTGTGTTTTGTGCCATTGTTGAAGCTGATTAGTGTTTTATTTGTCTGTTTGAAGGTGATGGACGTGAGATTCAAATAGCTCTAGCTGAGTGGACTGGGCAGAGTACTGTGCCAAATGTGTTCATTGGTGGCAAACAAATTGGTGGATGTGACTGTAAGTTCCTATCTGTTATTGAGAAGATTTAGCCAAACCAGTATGTTGACAAAGTCCCACTGCGTATTTGCACTACTAATTTCCATCGTTTTTCACTTGCAGCTGTCCTGGAAAAACATAACGAAGGAAAACTTGTTCCTTTGCTTGCCGATGCTGGTGCAATTGCTAAACTTTCTGTTCAGTCGTAAATTTATGTGAAGAAAGAAATTTACGCAAAAAAATAAGTTGTGTTGAAGAAGTACTATGCATTTTATATTCAATAAACAATCTTGGTGGTCTAAGTTATTAATGTTTTCTGTGCCATTGGCTTGGCATAACCTTTCTTTTGGTGTTTTCTGTAACAATATGTATTGAGCCACCAGAGTAGTATGCCCAACACCTTTATGCCATAATGTTAAGCAAGTGGGCTCGTGTAGAAAATTGTGAGAACTAAAAGGGGTTGATCTGGGGTATCGGCCCTAAGGCCCCCAACACTTGACTTTGAACTGAACCAGGAGTCGCAAGAAATGCTAGAATTCTCAGAATAGATGCAATTTTGTATGTCAAAACTCAAGAAATCTTTTCATTATGTTGGATATAGTGTAATTGCAGTACAAATATGATCTCAACAGGGATCTTACACACCAATCGGACACAAATTTACTACCAGCTACATAATGTCTACAAGATAACAGCCATCTCTACGTATTGAAGGCTGTAAATTTATCAATTTTCTTCATCTCCTGTGGATCTCTCGAGCCATTAAATTAACAGTTTATGCTATTATAATTCAAGTCTTTACAAGGGCACCCCTTGATGCATCTTCTTTCACTTTCTGAAACACAAAACAGAGGCTATTAGCTTGGGATAAATGAACAGAACCTAAACATTCACAAGGAATCGTCCCCTTACATTGGAGAAATTTTTCCATAGCTCAAGGGTCTCGGTAGCTTTCCCGGATATATGCGTTTCACGAGCCAGTTCCACCCCTTCGGTTAGATTGGTTACACGTCCACTGACCAAGAGAGCTGCTGCTGCATTTAGCACCTGTGCGACGATTCAAGATCTTTCATATGGAAATCTAACTCTTATCTTTCCAAGTTTAAGTAGTACAATTTTAATTAATAGACATCCTATACTAACAAAATCTGCCTACTAATTATTAAAAATAGAAACAAAAGAAAGAAAGAAACACTAACCAACGCATCAGCTATGGACCCCTTTTCTCCTGATAGCACACGCTTTAATACGTTTGCGTTGAATTCTGGATCTCCGCCTCTCAGATCGTCTATAGTGCAGCGAGGGATCCCGAAATCCACTAGCAAATGACTGATTTTGTAAGACTACAAATCTGATATAATAATTGATGACCTAATGAAATTCAATTAAACTTTCGCAATATCCCCTCTAAGCAAAAATGCATTCAAGAAATCAAAGAAACACTTGGGAGAGTCCAACTGAAATTTGTGAAATTTTGTTCCAAACCGTCAAAGATGTAAAATTACACGACCATTTGTATGAAGCAACAAAGTTAGATATTAGAGCTTGTCAGGAACAAAATTACTAAATCATAGGAGAGAGTGGAAAGATTCTCACATGGATCAAATGAGAACTTTTCTATCTTATCTGGGGTAACATCAAGGACTAGTCCAGGACCTGTTCACATTCATTAGGGGAATTTAATGCAAATTGTTGAGAACAGAGCATAAGCTATCTAAGATAAATACGAAATGGTCAAGATTCCTTTCCAAGTTAGAGATCCAGTCTCCATATCCGTTTGAACCATTTTCTAAAAACAGAAAGGATTCTTACCAAGGGGACTGATCTCATCGAGGCCCTCAGAGTGAACAATTAATGCTCGCTTCATACCAAACCGTTGAAGTGCTTTTGCCATCTTATGAACCTAGTCAAGGACAAATTTTTTTTTTTTTTAAACCGTGAAACTTCTTTAGGAGGAGGACAAAAGTGTCAAATCAATATGAAAAGAAATGATGGAAGAGATACATTGGAGAAGGTATTGCAGAAAAGGGCTGTATGTTTGGCCAAGCACAAAAGTAAGTCAAAGTTATTTTCAAGTAGCTTCTTGTTCCCAAACATTTTAATTCTCATATTCAGAAGTTAAAATGATTTTGTTGGACATTAAGGTAGGGGATACTTTCAAAGTAACTTATTTCCAATTTGACTTTGAAAAATAATATTTAATCTAAAATTTACTTATTTTCTTATAAGTAAATCGTTTTAAGCTTAGACAAAACATGCACTAATTATGCAACTTCTTAAAGTTCTATACAATGAGTTTGTTATGGCTCTAGAAGGTTAAATCAATACCATAGGCGAGAAGATACAGTTGTAATGCTGGAAGCATCACTAAAACTATTAAGAAAATATGTTCTATCAACAAGTTCCACTAATCAGAGATTAAATTTCACAATTACACAATGAGAGTCAAGGTACTCACTAGATTTTCTTCGTATACCCCAACTACGGCGAAAGGAACTCCTGCAGGATTTAACATTGGGCCCAAGATATTGAATACAGTCTTTACTTTCAGCTTTTTCCTGATAGGTCTAACGATTTTCATTGCCGGGTGATATATCGGAGCCATCATGAAACCAATCCCAGTTTCAATCACGCACCTCGATACCCCCTGAACAAATAATAATAGGCATGTTGAGAGACAGGCTGAATATAAATTATGCACGTACATCACAGGCACAACTGCATGCTAATCCAATTTTATGTATCTTATAAGGTGTGGAGGCTAACGGCATGTTAGGTATATAGACAATATAACGAACAAGATTTTTAGCATATTGTTTTTCATTTACGCTGTCATACTATTCAATCCTCTCACCAAACATGCCGTATAAGTATTGTACAGCCTATAGGAAGATGAAAATGCCATTAAGTCTTCTTGTATAACTAAAGGTTCAAAAAGATATTCCAGATGCACTATTTGATGAGATGCCCTGATTTTGGATGAAAATATTCTATTTAAAAGTTATGTTTACATGTAAAAGCCCTAGAATATTCTGTTTCTGTTAATTCTNTTCTGTTAATTCTCTCCAGATACTAAAAGTTTAAACAGAAACAAGAAAAATGGTCAATCAAATCTTATTGAGATACAATATTGGTAATTCTCATGGAATTCCAATGGGTTGAGCCATATAATGACAGAATTAAAAAGCATAACAGATATGAAGCTCATTCAGAAAATAATCTGTGTTTATCATCCCTCATTGGATTTAACAACAAAATCATTTACCATAGGAAGTAAGAGAAACATATACTTCAAATTCTGGTATAACAGTAAGACAGTACAATTCTTTTCGGTCAGATTGCTTTTTTCTGCTTTGGACAAACTAATTAAATTGCTACTGAAGTATGATCCAAAACAATAAGAAAAAACAAAATCACCATATAATCTCCAAGGAAAGGGGGGGGGGGGGGGGGG